GTGCAGCTCACGCTCTACAAACTCTTTAGGCTTGCATAGCACCTCCAAGCAATGGTGTGAGTAGCTGCCGGATGTAGTTCTGGGTCCAGGCACCCTAGAAAGGGTGGGTACGGCCTAAGCAGGCGGGAATTTAGGGTTTAGGGTTATAATCCCTGTATGAGCTATAGTCTAAACTCCTTAAAGGGGGGCTATACAGGGATTATGTAGGGGATTTTTCAGGGGTTATTAAGAAGATACTAGGAGTTTCGACTATAGGTCATAGAATTTATTCCCGTATTCTCTACCAAGAACCAGTAAACAAGAGTTTCCCTCAGGTGAGGTCAAGAGAACCGTGATTGGCTGCACGTTGCCCCTTTTCCAGCAGGGAGAGGACGAGAAGCTTTTCGTGGAGCGACTTGGCATGGGTTGGATTGTCGTGGGAACAATGTCAAATTCAGGCTCTCCCATAATAACAATAATAGTAATAATAATCCTAATCATAACCAAAAAACAAGAATAATAGGCATTACCCTTTCAGCATCATTGCAATCTTTGTCTACAGGCGTAGCCACCTGGCAGTTGCGTCGGTGAGCCGACGAGCGAGAGACAGAAAAGCAATCGGTCTGAACCAGTACTGCTATTGTGAGAAAGGTTTGCAGCCTCAAGAACCAACAGCGGTACAGCATCAAAACAGCAGCCAAAAGCATGGCAGTCAGAGTCACGTTGGCTACTATTCTCTGTCTGAGAGACGCGAAAGCCCAACAAACAGCTGGACCCAAACGGCGCAGCTCCCTGAAATGCCGAAAGCTGAATATAGCACATTTGAGCTGTCATCTTGGGCGATTTGGGTAGGAGCGCAACCCGAACCGGGAGCTTCAAGTTGAGCAGCACTTGCCCAGGTGGTCCATCGCCACTGACAAGATCAGACTCGTAAATCCAGAGCTCGCACGGTCGAAGAGACCGCGCAGGTCGTCAAGCTTTACACGGGCCGTCATTTGGCTTCACTGGACGTCAGTTTGAGTCACGCCTTTTTGCTGGGGCCTACTCCGCGACAGTCATGAAACTATGCACGCACGATCACAACAAAATATGTTAGAGTGTGATTCATGATGCCAGCATCCGGAAGGCATCTGCCATCAAGCGAACCAGGGCACAGATCCTGCGTTTCGGCGAGAGTTATCAGCGCCAGGTCATTGTGAAGGCGTGAAAGTGTGTGCTACAGGTTAGGCTGAAAGCGATCCCAGGTCGTCACGCATATGCTCGCGTTTGTACGCATTGCAGATGTTATCAGATGTTCACATGTTGAATAGAAGCAATAGTGGCAGCAACAGCAGCTTGTCTACTGGTGGGAACGGTTAATATGGTTCTGGTTTTGGGTACAGTTGCGACGGTTGGTGGCGGTGGTGCGAGTGTCCTCGCACACTGCCGTAGTCGTAGGCGTTGGCGTTGTCCCTAACTCTGCTGCTCACATGTCGTGGCGGCTCGGTTATTTGCTTGCTGCATCTTGCTGCTTGTGGTGCGCTGATAGGAGCCTAAAAACGCAAAAGAATGACAGGCCATGGAGGAGTTTACGTCTCTGTGGCTTGACCAGTTCGACCAGCTTGTGCTGCCGGTGGATACCACCCGTCTGCTTGCTGCGCTCACCAGTGCTCTGAAGCAACTTCCGAAGAAAACGCCTAAGCGAGAAATCGCCTCGAAGTGGAAGGAGGAGGCAGAGAACCTTTTCAAAAACCAGAAGGAAGGCCATGGTGGACTAGATCACAAATGGCATGTGGCTCCCGACGACATTCTTGTCATGACTCAGCGCTTGGCTGGGATTGGCGCCAAGGAGGCCGTCGTCTTGGCAACTCGGTGCGAATTCATGCGTTGTTTCAGCTTCAGGTGGACTCCAGTGTCAGAACCAGGGGACAAGCAGGCGTAAGGTTGCAGCTTGATTTGTCCTGTGAACCTCATTGTTCTGCCTGGCTGTTGGTGACAGTTGACTGAGGTGGACAGCGTATTGGCAGCTTTGCATCTTTATCAGCAGGAGTACGAGAGCCTGTTGAAGTGGGAAATGGAGGCCGCTTGCTTTGCTCCACACCCTGCGGGTTCTGTGACTCTTCGAACAAGTGTGCTGTGTGCATGGTTGACTTCCTCTTTCCCATAAGTGGCGGAAGTCCAAAACTGCTAGAGTGCGCCAGAAAGCAATCTGGTTAAATGCAGGGTTGCCCGACCCTGGGGCGTGTACTGCCAAGCAGGTAAAGTCCCGCTAGTTGAGAAAAGCCAGGCACAGGGGAACACCCCAAACGGGATCCCTTGTTTTGAGGAACCCTTGAACAAGACTGAACCAGAAAGATAGAACTCTTGCTGACCTGCTGGGGCTTAGGCTTTTAGTTGCTAAGATCTAAGATCTTGTGCTACCGTCAGTAGCAAACCGCCAAGCAAGATTTTGGCCAACTTGTGTATGAGATGTGCTCTGTTCAAGAGGGGTCAGCTCCGTTGGCCAATGTACTGGAATTGTAGAGTCTTTAACAGGAAGTTTTCAGCAAGTTTTCGAGTTTATCATCATCCTATCCTTCTTTATGCTTGTTTTCCCGTGGCGTGCAGAGGCCAACAGCGAAGACAGTGATGAGGAAGGTGACTCCCTCAGAGCTTCAGATACCAGTCGAAACGGTCTGGAAGAGTGACGGTAGTGACGGAACACTGTACCTACTTACAAGGGTAGTTACAATAGTGGTGAGAAATCGCATGATGCGATAACACGAGTAGTGCCATTTGACTAAAGAGAAGAGCATCCAACCAAACAGGTTCACCATGTCAAGATGAGTTCCGGTATCACGGCCATGAAGCATGAGGGGGGCGATTCAAGTTGGAGCAATAAACAAGTGGTGCCCAATATTACCCCAATAATGGAGAATCAAATGGAAAAGAAAATGGAACATGAAATGGAAACTGGGGATTATATAGGGGTTATTTGTGTAGGATTGTAGTTAATGCTACCTCTCAGCCTCGTCAAACCCTAAAACCCTAAAACCCTAAAACCCTAAAAAGGTTTGTAAGGTCACTCCTCCATCGTCTTCGACTAAGGAGGAGCCTTGAAGGCTTTCACAGGGTGCATCTAAACTCATCTTAGGGCTTAAAGGGTATATATGTATATATATATATATATTGGGGTTATATTGGGGTTATAAACTCATTTAGAATTATTATTACTATTATTACTACAATTATTACTTTTACTATTATTACTACTATTACTGTTATTATTACTGTTATTATTGTTATTATTGTTATTATTGTTATTATTGTTATTATTATTGTTATTACAATGAGCATAGGCAGGGTATGGCATGGCAGGAACGGCGAATGTGAATAAAGGTGGTTAAACAAGATGAGGATGAGTTGTTCGGCTCTCCATCGGTCTGCATTGAAAGGTTGTTCTAGAGTAAAAGCTGCTTCTTTGGACTTGGGACTTTCAAGAAGTGTGTCTTGCAATGATGGGTGTCAAAAGCGTGCGGTCACCAAAGTGATTGTTTAAATTGCTGGCCTCTGGTTAGCTAGGAAGGAAGGAATGGATCCTTTTAGTAAGGCGATTGGTGGTATTGATGGGTGTCGTAGGCCTGGTCACCGTCATAGCCTCAGTCGTCGGTGCCGTACTATCAGGCAGTGGCACCTGTAGAAACAGTAACCATGGGTTGTGACGCAGTACAATTGGGTGAAGAGTCCGAAACCTAAACTAGGAGTCACAGTAAGAAGAACAGGGAGAGCACCAAGAGTCAGTTACAAGAGTCATTCAAATTCAGAAGTGTGATGAAGTCAGGAGGGTAAGAGTGAAGGCCAAAAATCCGGTTTGCTTCAAACTATGTGGGTGGTGGTGATTCTGAGAGTGTGTGACTTAGGATAGGCTGTAATTTGTTGCAGTGCATGGTCAGCTGAGCACCTAAGTTTCTGGGATGTTGTAATGCAGGGATGGGTGATGATTGTGATGTTGCTGTGGTGAAATGCTGGTGACCTGCCCGCATCCAAAGGATTCAGGGTCCGTGGAGACTTGAATTTTGCCGTGCAGAAGTTTGTTTATAGACGCCAAAACTCAGGTCACGCGGTGCGCCTAGGAAAGCAGGCACACAAAGGAAGCACGGTACTTGCTGTAAGAACATGTAAGAACATCGCACAAAGCAAAGAGGATGTACCCTCCACGACAGTAATTAAAGCAAGCAGTGAGCGTGGCTAAGACGGCACGTTAAGTGCTGCGAGCAGTTGCGCAAGCCCAATAGAACGTCAGTAGCAAGATCAAAGATGGTAGCGGTACGCTAGTCTGATGCAATTCCGCTAGAAGGGAACACACAAATGCAGCAGCCCTTCTTCAGAAAAATGGCATCGCCTTAGCCAGAATGGTGCTGGATTGGCTTTACTAGGATTTTTTGGATTGGCTGGCAAGCGAATAGCGAGCTTCAGTAGATCGTGTTGTAAGTGCCGTTGCGTGTCTTGCCGCTTTGCAATGAGATTCCACTAATCATTCCCAGGCAATGAAGCTGAGCAAGCTGATTTCCCTCGTCTTCGTGGTTTTGAGGTCGGAGATGCAGCTATCATCACGCTTGCGTATTGTTGCCTTTGGCTGTTGAGGGATCATGCATCTTCGCATAACAAGGAGCCCAATCGGTCTACGACTGATGAGCAGCAAGATGCAGTCTCTCGTCGGGCAATCAGCAGTGGCAAGAAGAGATGTGTTAAGACTGCGAAGCAGGTCTCTTTGACAACTGGCAGGGTCTTGCAAGCTTCCTATCAGGTGTGGCACTGCGCAAGCATGGTTGCTTGTAAGTCCCATTCTCTGTGTTGTGCAGACAGGGTGGATTTGAATGTCCTGCCACGATTCATCCTCAAAGCGGTGGCACAGGAAAGCAGTTTTGATGCAATCTGCTTGCACATCGGACTCTGCCTCGCACAGCTCAACGGTATACAGCTGCGATGCGCCCCACCCATGCAAACATCATGGACAACCACTCCCGACACTGAAATTAAGATTTTTGCAGCATGTGTGAAGGAGAGAGAGGGAGCTCAGTGATATGTAGGTACATGGTGATTGCCCTAAATAGGGGGGACCCCGGTATAGACCCCAATATACAATCCTTATTATGGGCACCCCCAAAAAGGGTACACTTCATTTTTGCAAGGCCTAACCCTAAACCCTAACCCTTACATATCCCTATATATAACCGCTATATGTGTAGGTACTGGGTTACTACAGGGGCCGAAATAGTTACCAAGGTCCTTTTGAGGTACCATAGACCATAACTACATAAGGAATATGGAGCCATAATATTTTTAGTTATACCCTAAATCTTAAGGCCTAAGCCCTAAACTCTACCAATATTGGTAATTATTTAGGCC